GGGATGGGTCAGGACTGAGCGCCGAGCCCGGGCGAGGAGCAGGAGCTGGGCTGCTCCTGCTAAACAGCTTAGACCGAGCCTTCACGGCCACTTCCCTCCCGATCCAGCACCGCATTCCTGCGGCATCCAGGGCGAATCGCTSGGAGGAACGCGTTCAAAGGAATCAAGGCAGGAGCGGGGTCCGTCCGCCCCAGAGCGCCGGCAACAGCAGCGGGCTGGCTCTTGCTGTGCCTCCCTTGCTGACTGCGTGGTCASTGAGCAGAGGAAAGGAACTTGGAGATGCCCCAGAGTGAGGTCGTACCCTGTTGATTTATTTTTTCTCTTCCTGGAGACCTTCTGTCTCCCGCTGCCTGGGCAGGGAATTTAGGGATTTACTGTCAGGACTGACTTATCTGCTCACTTGGCACAAGAGAGGTGCCTGTGGTAGGCAGTCTGGCTCATACCCTGTACCTTTTTTCCCCCTTTCTAGTCTTCTTGATTAGCGTRGTTTCTATTCTTGTTAAACCATTGACTTTTTTTTTTTTCCTTCACAAGTAGAGAGAATAAGGTGTTGATCCCTTCCTGGGTACTGACCGTGTCTGTGGACAGATGTTCCCCACCTCCATGTCCAATCCTGGCAGAGGTGACTTGGTGTGGCTGTCACTTGATATCTTTGTTTCCTCCCTCTCAGCAACATCTCAGGCTTCAGGGCTCAGAGTGCTGGGGGAAACCAATGCCCCAGGAGAGGCTCTGGGTGTGGTTTTTGGGGCCAGGGACYTCCTGCTTCTAGGGCTGAGCATCTTTCCACCAGTCCTCAAGTGTCTCCTAATCATCCTGCATCCTCTAAAAACACCTCCAGCTGAGCAGGGGTGCAGGACTCTGGATTTGAAGGGAGAAATGTGGGGTTTTGAAATGATGCCACCAGCAGTTCAGAGACCTTCACTCCAAGCAGTGGTTGGATGCAGATCAGAACAAAACTCTTTTTAAAGACCCCCAAATGCCCATGGACATGGATTTGGGTCTGTTTCCAGGGCAAKTTTCTCCAAACTCCAAGAAAATTATGTGTATCCTGCCCTGGGAATTTTCCAGTGCAATTCAGATGCCATTTGATAGGACTCACGTGGGATCCATCCCAGTCTGAGATAGCTGTCTAGGCACGAGTCCCTGAGGTGATCCACTGAAAAGAAGTGTCCAAGGTGGGGAAGAAATCTCCTTATAAATGTATCAATTTTTCTCTGGTGACTGTTGGAAAAGATGACTTTCCTTGACTGGCTTTATCTAAGGAACTTAAAGTGAAAGCCTGCTTTTAGTGGGGAGTGAAATGAGGAAGAAAAACAGTGCTGAGACACCTTGGGGTTGTTGTAGTCTGGCAGAGGCTTCGGGTAGGCAGTGCTTCATACACCCCAAAAATCCCCATCTCTAATACTTTGAATGAAGTGGAGAGTTGTGCTACAAACACTACATTTCCTGTGACAAATGCTGACCCAAAATTCAGTAAGGGAACAACAGCCACAAGAATTTCTTTCTCCATCTCCTATGCATCTTGGTGATTCATATGAGGTCCTAGGGTGAAATCCTAGCCCACGTCCATTAATTCCAGTGATGCTGGATATGTCCCTGGGGCCCCAATCCTGTACCTCGGAAAGGTGCTGTTCTTGCAGCAAGAAAAGGTGATTTAATTCAGCACTGCCGTGCCACCACCACTTCACCCAACACAATGCTTTAACAGTGCTAACGGGGACTTTTCCACACTTCAGCACGAGTGTTAATCTTGGCTGAAAAATCCCAGTAAGTGGAGGTTAAGTCTCTCCATCCCAAACCYAATACTCCCCACTGCCAGACCTCTCCTGCTATCCTTTGATTCACCGTCTTTCTTTCCATACAACATGCTTGCTCCCACTGGAAAGACTTTTAGGCWGTGTGACTCCAGTGTTTTTTAGCAGTGTTGCCATGAGGGAAATGCATGAGGAGACAGCTGGGATTCAGCTTCTCTCCCTGTGGTAGGTGAAGGGCAAGGCTTGGGTGCCACTGCTGGGTTTTGAGTGACTTGAATTGTGTAACGCTAAATTCAACCACTTACGGATGTTTGTGGTGGATGAACACTGCCATCACACCTTTATCCATGGCACCTTTATCCACTGTGCCACTCAAATCAAGCCTGTAGAAGGCAGATACGTGTCTGTCAATCAGAAAAAATGTACATATACATCAGTTCAGGGTGTTTGGTAAAGGGCTTGCATGCTTATAATGTGATGCTCCAAAATCAGTTTGTAGGGTTAATGATTGGACTTGATGATCTTGGAGGTATTTTCCAACCTTAATGATTCTATGATCATATTCTATTTATTGCAGTGCTGATTTCTTTGGCAAATGGACAGATTTTGTAAACCTCCTAGATACGGTGAAATTTTTAACTGGCTATAATTGTGATAAGGYCTCTCAGACAAATACTCAAATATATTTAATATGCAGTTTCACAGCTGTAGGCTGTCTGGGATAAATCTTTGGGATCTGTATGGTTCCTGTGCCACCTTTCTCATGCCATCTCCTGGTACTGCTCCTGGAGTGTAGCACTGCTGAGGATGTCCTCCTAACAAAACTCTGGAACAAGCACACATGCAGACAGATCTCCAGAGCAAACAACTCTTCTGAACTGTGGGTCACTAGGGAATGTAAATTTTGGAAGGGAATTTGGAAAAGAGGCTTGTCTAAGGAGCCATTTCATGGTCCTTTTCTTGATTTCCCAAGCATCCAAGTAGTAATGTGGACTGGTTAACTTCTCACCTGCTTGTTCAGCAGCTGGGCTGGTTATCTAGGCAGTGCTGGGCTCACAGCTATAACAGTTACACAATTCTCAGCACCAGTTTAAGGATAACTTGGTTGCAGGCAGGTGAATCACAGCCCCAGCAAGGGCAGGACAGCACWCACACTTAAAAATCATCATCATCCCTGCTACAGAGCCCTGTGAAAAATGTTGTTTGTAACCAGCCAGGGAGAATGAGAGGACTCCACCTTGTTATTTTTCCCCATGTAGAAGGAACAAAGTGTTTATTTTCCAGCTGGTAGTCTTGCAATTTGCAGACAGGCATCCAGTTATCAAGCTGGGCTCTTCCTATCGCTTCCCCTGTTGGCAAACAAAGCCGTGCGTGTCCGATAGTGCCTCAATTTTTTATAATTGTGCCATTCCCGTGATGTCTCTGGGTATCTCCAGATAATTTAAGCACTAAACTGTGTGTTTCAGACTGCAGAGTGAGGAATGTAGAGAAACAGTATAAGTAAATGAGCTGGCTAGCTTTTTTGATGGTGTTTGAGAAGTTTCTGAGTGGCTCTACAGAGCAGGTCTACCTCTACTGACAGAGGACCAACCTCAAAAGGTTTGGGAATGTGTCTAGGATGGGGCTGATGCCATATCTGATGTCTGCTATTGCCCCACCAGCCAGCCCAGACAGATGAAATGCACTTGGGTTCACACAACCTCCCACTTCAGCCGCACAAAATGTTTGTTCCTCTGCATTGGACTCTGGCATTGTCACTGCATCCATGGAAAATGCAGGAAATCCCTCATGAAGTAGAGTTTCCACCTCACGTCTTCCCAACAAACATATTTCCCTAACTCCGTGTCCTCCTTTACGGGGATTTAAATTCAAGAAATGTTCTGCTTGAGGTTTTGCAAGGGTTTGGCAAACACAAAAGCCAAGATGTGCTGGCTGTTTTCAAAGAGCGCCTGGAATGAGCTGTGATCAAAACCAAACTCCCTCCTTTTCAGCACTATTTCTGGCCCTCTATCTGTGAGCTCCCTCTCTCCCTAGCAGGCATTTATAAAAGAGCCCTAGTAAGAGAACAATTGGGGCAAGAATTTGCCTTACAGCAAAGCCCTGCAGTGCTTTTGCACAAGGAACAAGAGCTTCCAAGGGAGTGGAAGCAGTTTGTGTTTGTGTTGACTGGCCATGGTTTCCCACTGCTGGGGGTTTCCAAAGCAAATGAAATGTTATTCATCAAGGCAGGCTCCCACCCCAACCTTCAGTTGTTGAAAATACTACAAAGTAAGATGGAAAGAAACATGTAATCCTTCATCATCACAGTCAGGATTTACTTGTTTATTTAGATTCCCCGTCTGTTCCAAATGTTCTGCCAGAGAAAGCCCATCCAGACTGCAGGAGTTCTTGACAMACATAAAAAAAATTCAAGATCTATTTAGAAGATAAATCCAGCAGAAGCCACTGCCTGTCCTCACAGTATAGCAGCAAGATAAAAGTCCCACATGGACAATAAAATATCTCAGGATGATTTTTGTAGAAAAAAAAAAAAAAGGAAGAAGGCACCTGAGAAGAAATAGATTTTGATGTGGATCTCCTAAATCAGACACTTTTTGGTGGAGGTGTCCTTGAGCTCCAGGTACCTCCTTTTGTTCTGCCTGGAAAATGTTAAAGTTATGGGACCATGGATGCTCCTAGGGACTGCTGAGATTTTACCCTTTAGGGTTTTGTCTTATAAAAACTCATATAATGAGGTGTTTAGGACGCCTCTGTTCTTGGGAAGGCAAAAAATAACCAGTTCTGTGTTTGACAGGTGCTGTCCTTATTTCACATATTGACATAAAGAGCAAGGGGCAGGCTCTTGTCAGAGTTTAGGGGTTTCTGAAGGGTGCTAGGGTGAATCAAAATTAGAGTTTTCCAAAAGTCATACCCCTTGACGTGAATCCCAGTTCTGCACCAGAATTAGGGCAACCTTCCTCCAAAAACTTCATGTGGCTTCAGTGAGCTGAACAGATCTGACAAAACAGTTCATAAAAGTAATTGTCAATCCCTGGTACCATTAAGATCTACAATTTTGGGTCATAACTAAATACATGAGTGCAAGGGAGGATTTTACTTAAAAAGATACAAAAAAACCAGAGTAAAAGTTCCCTCCATAAAAGCATTCTGCCTTTGAAAAAGTGGTGAGGTATYTTCTGGAATGCCTGAATTAACCCTTGCTATGATAAGTGTTTGTGTAAAGCTCACCTGCTGCTGTCCCCACAGCTCATGTGCTCCTCGGTGCAGAAAGCCCTGTTTGAGGAGGAGGACAGGGTGAAGAAGCTGCAGCAGAAAGTGGCGACGCTGGAGAAGCGCAACAAGCAGCTGCGAGATCGAGTGAAGAAAGTCAAGAGGTCTCTCCGGCAGGCCAGGAAAAACTCCAGGCACATGGAGCTGGTGAACAGAAAGCTCAGCGAGAAACTTTCCTCGGCAGGTGGTCAAATCCCCTACATTAACTCTTTGAAGCAGGAGAACTCCCATGCCACCTACCTTAAGGTATAATGCAAGGGTAAGTGCTCAGATGAGCAGTGGAGGTGAATTTTGCCTGCTTTAGATCAGGGTCCGGCCCTCACACCTTGTCTGTGCTGTGCTTCAAACCTCACATGGAAAACAAATCTGAACTTGCCTTAGGCACAGTGCTGGTTTAAACAGGAATGCCAGCTGGATTTGGCACAGCCCAAAGCTGTCTCACTGGACACAAGGCCTGACAGTCACCTGTGCTTCTCCTCCCTCACCCACCTCCACCACCAGTTTTAGGCTGTCTTTGATAGAATTGCCAGCCCAGCCCCTGGGCCATTGCAGGCACTTGACAAAGGAGCTCTTCCTGCCACTTKACCTCCTCCCCATGGGCTGGGCAAGGAAGGCTTGGGATGTAGAGATGGATGTGRTGGGGAGGATGCAGCCATGAATGCCCTTTATGCCCTCATCACCCCCAAGCTCTCAACCTTGCTTTAAGCTTTACTAAAGTCCACACCTGGTGCCTGGGCAAAGGCCATGTTTGAGACACAGTTTGTGCCTCTCCTCAGCATGAAATATAGGTGTGCCCAAATTGTCTTAAGATTGTTTCTATATRTCTTTAAATATTCTAAATAAAATATATAATAACTTTTATTTTTCCAAGAAGTGCCTCAAGGCTCTCAGTAGCTCCCTCAGGTGCCTTTATMATTGGTCAGCCAGCGGGGTTGGAAACTGCATAATTTCAGGGCTGTGTCTGAGACCTAATCCTGCAGTCAGGAGTGGACTTTGCCTATGAGTGGGTGTTGGATCAGGCCCAGCAGGCAATTTCAGATCCCATTCTCAAGGAGGTTTAATTTACAGTGTGGACAAAGCTTCGAGTTTTGTAGTCATTGAGGTATAATGGAGGTTGCTGGGCAGCCTCACTAGGTTACACTTAGAGCCTRTAGAGACCACACCAATATCAACAGGGCATTCAAAATTTAGGTAGTTTATATATGTATATATTTTAAAATCCTATAGAAAATATTTTTATTACACATTTGATATAGTCTAATTTCTTAAAATATGAAGTAAAACCTGTTTCTYGGTTATCTTGTAAAAAAGAAAAGTTCATTATTTGCTTTATTAGACATTTATAAACTGACTTTTGCTCAGGCAGTGTGAGTTTAGGCATCAGTATCCATGGCTGATAATGCTTTGAACTATCCCAGCACTTGGAAAAGCCCATATCAGCTTTCACACGTGAGCTTCAGTCCAAGCAGAACACAAAGTTGACTCTCATTACCTTCCAGTTTTACTTCTTTTGGAAATTCAATTTTTTTTCCCTCTTGAAATAATATTGGCATTTCTTAAGATTCTGGCTGCTCCACTGGTTTCAAAGGCTCCACCTACCACATCACCACAATTTGAGTTGTTTTCTGCTGGAGTCAGCAATGCTRTTTCCTGAGAATTACTACAGAACTTAGGCTTCCGTAGAAGCCATCAAGAGATTTTTAACTCCAAAATTTAAATCCATAGAAAAGTAACTACTTTTTTATTGTTTCATTTTCTTGTTTTTAAACTGCTGTACAGTTTAAAACTGCTGTATACATGAACTGGTTTTCCTGGGATAGGTAWTAAAAGCTTGTATTTTCATTTTTTGTTAAGAAAAATATTCCCTCTGGTATTCATTCATGTTYTATAAGTGTTTGTATAAAGCTGAGAAAGTATAATTCATGTAGCTACACCTTTGCTATTCCTAAAGATTTTCCAAACACATTGTTCAATATCTTTTTCTTTGGCTGTTATTTTTGTTGCCTGATGAAAAGATTGGAATTTTCTTTCTATTTCTCCCTTTGTCTGCTTTAAAAAAAAAGTAAAACATTTTGTTCTCCTTGTATGTTTTGTGAGAATTTTGTTTATTTTGAAAAAAAAAACCAAAAAGAACCCCCCAAACACAAAGTCCAAATGCAACCCAAAATGCTCTCACTGGGTACAAAACCCAAAAAGGTGTTTCCTTATGAGTTTTTTCCTTTTCATTCCTGCTTGGGTTTGGATAATTTCCAGAGATAAGGACTAGCAGTCAGATCAGGTCTCAACCCTCTTGACAAGTAACAGGGGATGTCAAACCTAAATAAAAATGCCATTAAGGTGTCAGCACTGATTGCCTGTCCCTGCTGGTGACAGTGTCCAGAGAGTGACCAGGAAGGCTGCACGTGCAGGAAAACAAGAGGGATGAGGAATTTGTGTCATGACTCCCCAGGCTGGCACACATCACACAGGGCCTGACACACACTGTAATTTTTAGATCCACTCTGTAGCAATTTCAGGGAGCAGCTAACCTGGAGATCTGCAAAAAGGGCAAAATTTCCTGCCATTTCCAAGAGTAATGGGAAAGGYATGATCAAATATATTCCTCTTGAAAAGCTATGAGGGAGGGAGGGAGGGAGGGACAGAGATGCAGAAATGAGGAGGTCAGAATRGCTGGATGAGTTGGCAAGGGATGGGGTAGAAAACAAAAAAACAGCATGGTAAAAATAAAGAAAGACAAAAACTTCCCTGTTTGGTTAGAAACAACACCAAATGTGTTAGCCCCTTTTGAGAARTACAAGATGCTTTAAAATTAGTAACTGATTTTGGAAAACATATCAGGATCTTGAAGGCTGCCAGAACCTCTGCAGGACCAGAGCTGGGGATTTCCAGAGCAGATGGACACAACTGGAGACAAGGATGGGATTTTTGGCATCTGTGTTCACTCTGGGGATGTTTTGGTGGACAAAATTCCTCTGATGGATTCAGAGAATGACAAGAAGAAGTGAAAGAGCAAAATTAATAGTAATAGGACAGAATAATAGTAACAAGGACAGAGAGAGAGGGGAGGG